AATCTGGGCAAACACGTCCACAAATAGACTTTAGTGCATGATTTTTTACATTAGTTTAGAAGAAGGAAATGCCTATACAACCAAGTGGATAATTTTAGATAACGGAGACGTTGAGCGCGATGGTGACGACCTAGCACGGTCCCGACGTCGGGTCTGCTGCCTCTGAGTCGACTCTCTCTCAACCTGTTCCGTACAGTTTGACCGGATATCTTCCGAAGTCCAGGCACCCTGGCTGCTGTGCTCTCACCCGTGGCAGTACGATCACGCCAATGTAGTACCCGGATGTAACGATCTTGGGCTGTAGTGATGACTCGAGGTCTGCCTGTACGGGGACGGTCATTTGTTATACCTGTTTGGTTGTAACGTGCTCAGACTAACATTCAGACGCCTGGCAACAGAAGATTGGTAATCTCCAGCGTGCATTCTTTCAATGGCGGTGTTCCATGTTGCAGCGTTAAGACGTGGCGTAGTGATTTGACCTTGAAACTGCTTCAAAACGAATGCCGATTTCCGAAAGTAATCTGGATTTCCATAGCCAGACAGTGCATGCTCTTTGCTGTACAATTTCAACTGGAAGCTGATTTTTGTTGCGTTGTGGCGATGCGTTTTAATCCTTGTAAGAAATCTCATCAAAATCAACATTTTTTACTTGTGCAATTGTGTAAAATCATGTTTTAAACACTTTTGTTACATATTTTGACGATTGTTTGAACACAATAGGTAATTAATAGATTTTTTAAAATACAAAACGCCTATGCGTTTCTTTTTTTTCTTTTTTTTGGATAGTATATGTACAATGTATAAAGCCCATTGAGGTGTCTCTGATATTGCTGGTTTATTGCTAAAAACGGCGTAAAATTAAACTCACTCACTAATGCAGAACACAAGGCAGGGTAATAAGAAGTACCATTGTTAAGGAACTTAGTCACAACACTGTACTGAGTCACTTCCTCAGCTGGAAATCAATGATCGCCTGCTCTCAGAAAACATTCTCTATCCACTAGACCTGAGTTTCTACGGGAGGACAAGGTCCAACGTGACAGAAGGAACACGGCTAATGAACATGGTTTTTCGTTGACTCGAGGCCTGAATGTTCGGGCAAAGAGTCTCCGCCCTGTGTCTATCAATCACGCGCAATGATGCGGGTAATGAAGATGATACCTCGGGGCGACCTCTGGTGGCCGACATGCAAACCCTACCGTGCCCGTTGCTATGCGCCCTTGGGTCATTTCGCACAGGGGATTTTGTAATGTGGAATTCTGGCATTACTATTCTTCACTTTCCTACAAACAAGAATTCTTGCTCTATAATTTGTATTAATATCAGTAAAAAAATATTGATTTTATTTTTGTCGCAATCTGGATTAGTTTTTGGTTCCTCTTAGCGTAGGTGGGAGCACGGGTGTCGCTGTGGTATTGGACAATGAATTTCTTTGTACAGATGAGTGTCACTTATGCGTACAGTGAGTGAGTTTAGTTTTACGCCGCTTTTTTGCAACATTCCTGCACCGTGCAGCGGGGAACACAAGAAATGGGCTCCATAAATTGTACCCATGTGGGGAATCGGACCCGGGCCTTCTTCGTGACGAGCGAACGCTGTAACCACTATAGTCTGTTTGCAGTGAAAACGTACCAATGAATTTCATTTTAAACAAAAACGTAAATCAAATAAAGTGAAATTAAGATTGCGAATCCTCATAATTTTACCTTGCCAATTGAACATTTAAATCTCAGAATTTTATTTTACTTAGGATAAAAGTTGTTTAACAAACTATCATAGTTTCAAAGCGCTATTATTAGTTTGTATTACAAGGGGGTAAGCGCAGAAGTTGGAACAGTGAAACAAATGCACGTGCGGTACTTGATGAGTGTTAACTTATACTACCGTAGAAACCCATCCTTCTTGTTCTTGGGGTTTCATTTAATGTGCATACCCCCTTGTAATACAATCCAATAATAGCGATGTGAAACTATGATCGTTTGATAAACAACTTTTATCCTAAGTTGAATAAATTCTGAAACTTTATTGTTCAATTGGCAAGGTAAAATTATGAGGATTTGCAATCTTAATTTCACTTTATAAATATTTGATTTACATTTTTGTTTAAAGTGAAATTCATAGATACGTTTTCACTGCAAACAGACTATAGGCTACCCAACCTCTCCTCGAACGTATGACGAAGTATCGAGTGATAGGGCCTGTACGATTATTGCGAAACTGGTTTTGGTTTCTGAAACTGGTTTCTCCTGTTATAAACGAGAGTCTAGTTTCGGATACATGGTTTCAAAGTGAAACTAGTTTCTAGTTTTATAAACGAGTAGATGGTTTCACCATCCGGTTTCAAAAATGATACAAAATCAATGTCTCAGCTACTATATATGTGGAACGAATTGAATGACAACATTGCCGAAGGTAATATTTATCAGGGAATTAACAAATAATAATGAGATGAGATGCTTTTGGAGGTAAATATTTGCGTATATGTAATTACACTGTTACAAGTAATTATATGTTACAAGTTACATAAAATACTCATGTTAATAGACTGAGGTTTTAAATAATATTTTCCAAGTTCTCAGTTGATTTTTATCATTATTTTGGTTACAGAAACTGCTGCTCTATTTTGCCACCAGGATCAGCTGAACTTCGTTGCCGCCATGTTTGTTGTGAGAGAACGCGAAACCGAAACTGCGAAACCTGCCTCGGAGATGGTTTCGAAGTTTCAGAACCCATTTTTAGGTTCGACAAAATCGAGTGCATGGTATTCCAGAAACCCAAACTGGTTTAGCATAATCGAATAGGCCCATAGCAACTTAACTATAATCGCCACAAAAACAGGGAATATTTAAAATAAAAGATGAATTCAGACATAAAAATATGTATCGCGTGGAGATGTAGTACGTGAAGTGTAGTACGGCAATCAACGCCCCTGTTAGGCGTAACAGAAACGAATGGTCGTGTGTTCGAGTCACGTTCATGGTAATTGTCAGCACCGTGAGAGCGTTCGTTGGTTTCAACAGAGTGAGTTTTGTTTTACGCCGCCTTTAGCAATATTCCAACAATATCACGGCGGGGGACACCAGAAATGGGCTTCACACATTGTACCCATGTGGGGAATCGAACCCGGGTCTTCGGTGTGGCAAGCGAACGCTTTAACCACTAGGCTACCCCACCGATGGTTTCAACAGAGGTATCACTGAGGGCATTCCTGCCTCATCAACCGGACGTGAGTCAACACTTTACCCAGTGTGAAAGCCAAGAGCCAATTTACAAATAACACTTTACAGGTGTGTTAGTGGAAGTCTACATCATCTTAAACATTCTTAAACCCAAAACTGCTCCTTTCAAAACTATGGTTAATAAGCAAGCATACTGATTACATTAAATATTCGTTTGCGATAATTATATTTATTATGTAAGCATATTTTCCCGGCTACCTGATTGGTCTAGAGGCGGTCACGTGACCGTCAACAGAAAAGTATATTGACTCCAACCGAGGTCCAACCCAACGTTGATGACACTTCGTCCTCGGTCAATATTGCTTTTCGCGGGTCAATAAAGCTGGTATTGACCGAATTCACCAGTCCATAATTATGTAATTACTGAAAAAAATATTCTAAAATTCAAAACATGTCCATTTAGTCAAGAAAAGTCATTTTATTTTCGCTACAAACCAATAACGTTATGTCAACAATACTGTGACATGTAAACAATAGAATAAAGTCATAGCTTGATGTCAAAATCTATTTTTAGTAACTCAAGTCAAGATGACTTTTGGTCCGACCTTGGTTGGAGTCAATATGCTTTTCTGTCGACGGTCACGTGACCGCCTCTACACCATTCAGGTAGCCGGACAAATATGCTTACATAATAACAACTATGAAGATGATGAATAATGTTTAATGCGATATTAGCAGTATTCAAGTTTATCACTGCGTATGAGCAAAGAAATAACGTAGGTCTAAAATGTTTACAACTCCGGTAAATCCCGGTAGCACAAACTTAGACGCACAATCGGGACGATCCTTGATCCTAACGCAGGTTCCTGGCGTGCCCAAGGGACGCAACTCCCTACAGCAAATTCTGCTTCGTATTATCGACCAAAGGCCGGTCGGAATGGCCAGCGACACACAGAAGGAAGCAAGCTACAATGATATATCATTGGAAAGATCTCGGGGAGATGAACTAAAACAATCATGTGCCAGTGTGTTCACGTGTTCATAAGCTCACAAACTGGCTCTGAAAATGCATTTCTGCCGAAGTTTCTGGCGGATGTTTTATTTTTTTCAGCAGACATTTCTGGCGGAATTTTTTTCCTGCAGACATTTCTGGCGGAATTTTTTTATTCCTGCAGAACTTTCTGGTAGAATTTTTTATTTCACTTTCAGAATAATCTTATGTGAATCGTAGGCTCCATCTTAGGATAATTTAATATGGATTTTCCTTTAAATGATGTTTTTCTCCTGAAAACAACTTCAAGTTGGAGGGGAAATGGTGACCTGACCCGAGCCAGAGGCATCGAATAACATGCAACAAAATGCCATAGTTCTTGAGTCATATCTATCCTGTGTTAATGTTAAAACGTTTAGAATAGCACTGGCACGATTCAGATGCTCTTCTCATGATTTGTTGATTGAAAGAGGCAGATATATGAATGTAACAAGAGAAAATAGAATATGTACACTTTGTAATTTTAACGAAATAGAAGATGAATTACATTTTCTCCTAATATGTCCATTTTATGGCCGGTTGCGAACAAAATATATTAAAAGATATTACTATGTCCATCCAAATGTGATAAAATTCTCCTCACTGTTAAGTAGTAAAAATCCAGTCCTTCTACAAAATATTTCAATGTTCATTTACTATGCTGTGATTACCCGATCTAAATTCCTCTCAAATGTAACATAACTTTATGTACTATAGGCCTGTGGCCTTCTCAGTTCAAATAAATATTATTATATTATTATTACCATGCAAAAACAACAGGAAAACTAAACTAAAATGGAACTTCATATCAATATATCGCAGGTGATTACATGTTTGATTGGCTAACTAAAAGCAAATTATTCTGTGTATATGTCTTTATTAGCTAAACGAAAATAGGACCGCGCCCACGACTGCTGTTCCCTGATTGGCTAATAAGTGAACAGTCTGAGCATTATTGTTAGTTATTTATTCAACATATGTTATATTTGGGATTACATTTTCTGATTTATTGTTGCTGATGAGCGACGGCAGTGACGTTGTATCGTGAACGTTGTCTACACATATTTGTCGTTGATATAATGAGTTCAATGAACGTGTTGTTTAGTTCTTTTATTTTGTTACGTTTAGGACGATTTAAAGCCGAAATAGAAAGGACTTAAATCTGCACTCCGCATGTCTCGAACAACGGGTACTCATTATAGTTCATTCATTGATTGGGGGGTGGGGGCCGGGGGGTTTGTCACTTATTATGTACATAAACTTCAGGGGTTGTCATTCACATTGTACATGCTTCTCCATAAAAATCATCATCACCCCCCTTAGCCATAAATTATGAACGGTCCCTAATGGCAAAGCAGAGAAAGACGTATAGCAAAGCTTCATGACCGTATAACTTCACACAACACGAAGTCTGTGACAGTCAATGGAGTTGAACTGAGTGTTTCCCTTTGAGCATCCATTATGTCATATATATTCGACGAATACCGGCTACTACGGAAAGGAACATATGCCACGTATTGTCTACGGATTTTTTTCAGCTTCACGGCGATAAAATATCCAAGTGATGAAGGCGTTCCTTCATCACGCTCATGTATTGTGTCTGAAGTCTATGTATTGTGTCCCTTCCATAGGGAACATCGCTACAAGCGGCATAAAACCTCATTACTCGAACACCAATCAAAAATAGACATCGTCCAGTAGTCCCATGGCCGACGGATGTGTTCTCGATCTCATAGTTTCGATTTCAGCAGGCCCTTTCGACCTGCAGATTATTTTAAGCTGTAGACATGGTAAGAAAAGTAATCATAACAATGCTATATATAAATATATATTTGTTAATCATTGTCCAGCTTCAGAGTACCCCGCCAGTTAATCAGTACTCTTCACAGTAATCAGCCATATGGTCCGAACACTTGCAGACACCAAGCGGAGCAGAGTTATGAGACCAGTTTGAATACACTCTACTCAGTGCAATAGGTATCGCATTACATTCTATTAATACCATTCCTGCACTGCTATAGAGCTCGTAAATACTATTTCCGATAGCCGATACGCCTTGTCTGTTCGTCCCCAGATTTATATACGCCTCGTCTGTTCGTCCCCAGATTTCGTGAAGCCATTTCACGTTGAAAGGATCAGGCGTTACTTTCCACACATATATATTTTGCAAGAGAATGAATTTTCAGCTACAGAGCTTTCCTTTTTTTGGTGGCGGTGTTGTTTTTGCCTTTTCTGTTTCACTGGGTCTTCAGTTATTTTTAATGTACTGGGTCCCGATCCTTAAGCGATCGCAGCGCTACGTCATTCGTAAGCCTGGTAAACTGCAGAGTTACGACAGACACTGCCTATACACGTCACACAGCTGGTACGGTTGTATTTAGAGCGTTGTAGCAGTGAGACTCCTCCACGTCGAACGTACACTGCCCCTCCCCGAGGTATAGGGTTCCTTGCTGGCAGTGCTGCACCTCCTCCCGACCCCCCACACACCAGTAGAACTTGTTGCAGATGAAGGGGTGGGGCAGGTACTCCCCGTGGCGATTGGGATAACACGGGTGGGAGGGGTCATCTGGAAGAAAAAAACATCATTTCATTTCCAAGTCGTACGGGTGAAACCATAAGTTACAATGATGAAATGCAAAAGGGATAAGAAAAGGCTAATGTTTTCAGCAGAAATATGAACCAAATATTTAATTGTTATTTTTTACTATTATAAGTTACAATAATGCAATGCAAACGGGATAAGAAAAGGCTAATGTTTTCAGCAGAAATATGAACCAAATATTTAATGGTTATTTTTTACTATTATAAGTTACAATGATGCAATGCAAACGGGATAAGAAAAAGCTAATGTTTTCAGCAGAAATATGAACCAAATATTTAATGGTTATTTTTTACTATTATAGGTTACAATGATGCAATGCAAAAGGGATAAGAAAAGGCTAATGTTTTCAGCAGAAATATGAACCAAATATTTAATGGTTATTTTCTTTTAGATATGTTGGCGGTTTCATATTATTCAAAGGTTAGTTACCTCCCCTTGAAGCAATGGTGAGGTGTGGTCGGGTTGTGGTTTGTTTGTTTCTTAACGCCGCAGAATGTAAATATTAGAAAGTACTTCTTCCTGAACCATTATCGGTAGGCATTAAGAAAATATTACACGCACAAGAATATATAACACATTATAGATTTCTACAATATTCAAAGTTCGTGTGGCAATAAAACATTATTTGTTTCCATTTGTTTGTTGTTTAACGCCGCACTCAGCAATATTCGAGCTATGTTTATAAATAATCGACTCTGGACCAGACAATCCAGTGATCAACATCATGAGCGTAGATCTACGCCACTGGGATACGATGACATGTGTCAACCAAGTCAGCGAACGTGACCACCCGATCCCGTTGGTCGCCTCTTACGACAAGCATGGGTTGCTGAAGATCAATTCCAACCCGGATCTTCACGGGTGGAGACAAGCATGGGTTGCTGAAGATCAATTCTCGACCGGATCTTCACGGATCCTCAATAATACCGCATATATAGATACCTCACACTAACACATTGTACTGATTTGTGGAGCACGATAGTCGTTTTGTTATCCTCTTAAAGCTGCCAACCACGCGCAAAGAAAACAAATAATGCATTTTTGTCCAGTAAACAATTTTAACACGAACCTAAAAAAGGTAAGGATTTATGTATGGAAGCACCGTTTCGTTCACAAGTAAATTAGGAAATTCATCAAACTGGTTCGTAAGGCTTGGCGGTAATCGACAAAAAATTATTTAGTTTACATCAGCATTCTTATAACATCTCCAAAGACTCGTTTTATCCGGCAAACATAAATTCCCGATAGCGCTCTTATTTCCTTGCGACATTTACTGGAACGAACTCTGGAGTTACTGTAAGGTGACAGTACATGTGGCCAGCCAGCCAGCAAAATGTACATGGTGAAATTGGCTACAAATGCCGAACTGTCATGGTGTTGTCCAGGACTAAACCTAGCAAACCCGGGTCTGCAAAATGGTTAGGTGGCAGATTCGTTTTCTTTCCGATTTTCCTCTTCAAATTGGTTGATTCAGCCTCTAGATTCTTTTAGCTCATTCGAACCCCTCTAGTCTATTACATGTACCTTTAATATTACTAATCTGTTACTTACAGAACAGTATTGTGGTTAAAGCGATCGCTCGTTACGCCACAGACCAAGGGTTCAGTCCTCCCCCCTCCCCGGCTACATTGTGTGAAGCCCATTAGTGTCCCCTGCCGTTTTAGTGTTGGATTGTTGCTGAAAGCGGTGTACAACTTAACTCCCACACTCACTCATTTACCACATGGACATTCGAGAGAAGCAGCATCTAAGAAGGAGATGATGGTGTACGTGAAGAGTTGCACATCCCGGAACTAATTTTGCAGTGTAAGTCGTGTACGGATTATGCTCAAAGACTGGATATAAAAGTAAGGTCCGTAAGTACAAAGACATACCTTAACTACGAAGAACAAAACATGAAAAGAATATTTTGCGTATATATACTATATCAAATCATGGATTCAACAGCAAACTATGATGTGGGGTCAAATTTGGCTTAAATATGTAAGCTTATTGTAAGCATGGTTCCTAGGTTTCAGTATGTCATCTTGTGGATCCCATTCCTGCTATTGACTGCTATTGTTTATTTGTCAATGACTCGAGGACATGATCAATTGGCGTCACGCCTACTGTGTCCCCGTCCGGAATCGAACCTGGCGTCAACGTTGTCTACATGGCCACCAGGCTGTAATATTTCAGTCCCGGAAAGAAAACGTTCAACTACCTTTAACTGACCAATATTAACCCATTTCCTGGAATCTTTAACTGACCAATATTAACCCATTTCCTGGAATCTTTAGCTGACCAACGTTAACCAACCCGTCTTGCTATAATGAATAGCATGCACAAAAACGGTACCCACAGACTAAATAATTGTTGGAAGATACTCCAGTCCCCGACTCATCTCTTGGTTACAGTTCTATAGGAATTATCGAATATTAATATCCTCAAGGACACCCATAAAATAAAAAATCGAATCAAACGTCTCTCCATGGCTGTCGACCCCTGATCAAAGAAGACACTATTGATGAATTACTTCAGTTTTCGAGAGAGCCGAAAATCCTAATCTAAACTCAACTGGAATCTCATTCCTACCGTGCAAGAGTCTGGGAAGCAGGGAGCCCTTCAAATCCATGTAAGACTTTTTTTATCTGCTTAATAAAATATTCGTATTCTCTCCAGCCCAGAGGCCTGTGCAGTTGTCATTAAACCCCAAAGCACCGTGGGTGTATAGATCTTGTAGTTGCGCCCTGTCGGAGGAGCCTGCACGGGGATTTGCCGATCCATTGTGCTTAATTCACAGACAAGACTAAGCCCCAGAAACGAAAATTAAAAGTTCCGTCCATTTTTTGCAATGTAATTAAATCTCTCTGAGCTGGGCTAATTTGAATAATACGTATGCATTAAAGTTTTAGATTGCTTCCCTTTGTTCGGTTTTAATTCGAATTTTATGTAAATAGTATAATTTTATCTTATCTGAAAAAAATGTACTTCTACGTAATAGTGGCTGAATCGATTGCAATATTTGATTGGATAATAAAACTGAGTTTTGTTCATATTTGTTATACATCGTTGTAATTTAACCTTTCTTTCAGCGCAACAAATGTGAGTGGGTGGGTGAATTGGATGTAGTGCTGCTTAGAAGTGCGTTCCAGTTGTATAAAGGTGACTCGGGTTGGTGGGAGCAAAGCCCACAGTGATGAAAGTAGTGTTTCCCATTCTTGGCGGAACCCACGAACTTCAGCCTGTTTGTTCCAGGACGAATTTAACAGTCCTTACCATTATAAAACAACATATACTTCTATTTCAGGTCAATAGATCTAGCTACAAAAGGAGTCATAGGTGAAGAAAACCAAAGTCGTACTTCGAGAACGAAGGTCTGCACAGCCTGTAAATATCCTGACTTTTCAATTTCGAGCCAAAATACCTGCTCAGATTTTGCACCGGTTACCGCTAAATACCACTGAATTGATGTAAGGATATTTAAAGTAGTTCCTGATAAGTGATCCCGTTAGGATAGTTATCTATTCGTGATATCAAGTTTATTGGAAGTGATGATCGCACCTATATAGCATGGGCGGACCCCCTGGATCCGCCATTGATCACCATTCATTACATGGTAAATAACCTGCCAAGAAACCATTACACTTGCTACACCAGAAACATATCTCGCATTCGAAGGTAGCAACCCGTGAAAAACTGGGTTAGAATTCGTCTTCAGCAGCCAATGCTTGTCGTAAGAGGCGACTAACGGGATCGGGTGGTCAGGCTCGCTGACCTGGTTGACCCATGTTGTATCCCAGTTGCGTAGATCTACGCTCATGCTGTCATATAGCTGGAACGTTGCTGGCTGCGGCGTTCAACAGCAAACAAAGTAACCAGTTTACTCGCTTCAGCAGAGACATATGAAGCTTTCAAACGACGCTCTAATTGTACAGTTTTCATAGGGATATTTTATCCGATTATTTTTCTCTAATTGGAGTAGAAAACAATGTCTGCAACACGATATCCAGAGGACTGACTGCCTGACTGAGTTTAGTTTTACGCTGCTTTTAGCAATATTCCAGCAATATCGCGGCGGGGGATACCAGAAATGGGCTTCACACATTGCGCCCATGTGGGGAATCGAACCTGGGTCTTCGGCGTGACGAGCCAACGCTTTAACCACTAGGCTACCCAACCGCCCTGATATCCAGAGGAAGTCACGAGGAGGCATGAGAATGTAGACCAAAGAACGACAATCTTATCAGCCGTTAGAAGAGTCAGGGGACAGCTTATATAATAATAAACAGTCATCTTCTACAGCGCACAGTCTCCAAACACCAAGTGATTGCTTAATCAGAATCTGATTCTTATTACCCCGGATAATCCAAGCTGCCTGTTAGGCGCTAGAAGGTTATGGTCACATGACTTTATCCAACCGGGTACCCATTTTCTGCTGGGTGGACAGAGGCAATTTTGAACGAACTCACTTGCCTATGGTGAGACCACATATATCACATGTGCTTCGTTGTGGGGCAGGACTGAAGTCCAAGAAACTCTCAGGAGTCAAGCTGCCAAACACGGTCACCCATCCAAGGACTGTCCGCGCTCGACGTTGATTAACTTCACCTGATTCGTGACCTGAACCCTGTGCACAGGACCACACGCCACCATAACTACCAACATAACTGCTTGTAAGCATGATCCTTTAATGCTATGAGAGCGAATGGATCGCGAAGGTGACACGGGAAAGTGGCGGATGACCGGAGGGTCTGTGACACGTGAAAAGCACGTTCGTCCCGGGTGGGTAGCGCATGTCTCGCGAATGTCTCGCGAAAGTCTGGCGAATTATTTGCAAGTGTCCGGAGACGACCCGTGATTAATCGATTGGTGCAACACCTGGCTGTGTGTCAAAGGGAACGGAAATACGTTTAGAAAGTCAGACAAAGCGAAATGATCGAATTACAGCGTTAAGTACAAAGACCTTTGATTGCTTGAAGGATTGTATTTGTCAAACTAGTTTTATAGGTGGTCGAACTATAATTGACAATGGAACAGTAAACTTTCCTCAATTCTTTCGGGTGGACAGATGCTCATAACCAAAATCACAAAATAAAAGGACAGACATGTAGCAGAAACAGACTCGACGAGCGATTGCGACGACCCGACGGTGCATAAAATTTCAAGCGGCAGATCTAGCTGATTTGAGAGAATATTACGGTTTGTGTGTTGTTTGATTGTTTGGTATTTACCTGTATGACTTCGGTATGTGAGGTGAGGTGAAATTGGGTTTAACGTCGTGCTTGAGAATATTTCGCTCATATGACGACGTGCATGCGTGTGTATGTGTATGTGCGGCTGCTTGTACTAGCCCAGACTGAAGCTGGTTTTATAGCGCTAGCCCACTGAGATACCATGCCGCAGTGAAGCATGAATACCCCACTCAGACACATTATACTGACTCCAAGCCGACCAGTCCTTGTTGTACCCATTAATGCCGAGCGCCAGGCAGGGACCAACAAGTACCATATTTTAACGTCTTTTGGTATGACGCGGTCGGGGATCGAACTCGCGACCTTCCGCACTCCGGGCGGACGCTCTAACCACTACACCACGGAGGCGGTCTCTTCGGTATGTAATTGAGTGAGTCTTCGACAGACAACCAGTGACTGACATCATGAGCATGGCGAGACACAACTGGAATACGATGACGTGCATCAACCAAGTCAGCGAGCCTGATCGCCATTCTCATATGCTGAGCGGAAACACGCGAGGAGTTACGATTCGTCGCTAAGTTGTAAAAGCTCGTTCCCATCAATGCTATCTCTTCGATCAATGCCAGTGACATTTCTTCTTTCTTGTTCGGACAGATTTTAACTGATTGGGGAAGGCACGGACACCAAAGAATATACAGTAACGAATTATGAACGGATAGAAAGGACATCTTCCAATAACAAGGACTTTTGAAAAAAAATGATTAAAAGACAACACATTTCCAGTCCATGAGGACAGTGCCCTCATTTGCATGTTGCTCTGTCAAGATTTCCCATGATGGACGAGGGGTAATTAATATGTGCCTTGACAATCGGACTTATTCGGATTTGTCCGTGCCAATTAACCAATCTCTACTGCCGCCGAAGACTAATTACAGGCATTGTTGGAGAAACATGTTTTAACCTCTTTTACAGAATATGCCTTTCTTGTACGAAGACGTACAACACCTTTGGGATGTTGTATGAAAAAGCCATGTGATTAATTATATTTGATGAAATAGGGCAGGACATGTTCAAATCTGCAGCTTCGTTCTTGTTCAGTGTCGTCCCTGATGCATGTGTCTGTTCAACAAAGGCTTATTTAGCATGTGCTATATAGTATGACCAGAAATTATTGAGAATTTTAGGAAAATGTTTAATTGGATTTTTAGTATAAACAACCTTGACCAGCTATCAAGTGCTTGGTTTCATTCAAGAGAGACAACTCCGTTAATCCTTTTTCATTAGTTTGTGAAGAGTTACCCCCTTTGTTTACTTGCTAGCAGACGACATTTTCAGTGATCCTCAGTATGGATGATTTAGAGAAGAGGAAGTTTATTTTAGAGTATTATAACAAGGACATCAGATCAGCTAAAGTGATTTCAAGTAGAACAGGCATCCCTTTGTCCACTGTTTATCGTGTTTTGAAAAATATTGCAAATGGATATGTCACTGAGCACCAGGGAGGCGCAGGTAGGCCCAGAAAATTGACTGTCGGTGACAGGAGGCTGCTTGGTATTCTTGTTTCTCAAAACAATCGAAGGAGTTTAGAAAACTTAAGGCTGGATATGATTGATAGAGGAACTGTGGCTGTCTGTAAGGAGACAATTAGAACTGAGCTGCATGCAATGGGTTGGCAGAAAAGTCGAGGAATTCCATCACCGATCATGAAACCTGACCAAAAGGAGCGAAGGTTGAACTGGTGCTTACAGCATAGAAATTTTAAATGGGACAATGTGATTTTCTCAGATGAAAGTTCTGTGTGGCTGTTTCCTAATACACTGAAATTCTGGACCAAACAAACTGAAAAACCTTTGTATCAGCGCCTAAAGTACAGTCCGAAATTTAACGTGTGGGGTGGCATATCTGTGTTGGGGGCAACGCCCCTCTGTGTATTTGAAGGAAATATGAACAGTGAGCGGTACACAGATATTTTCGAGGGACATTTACTTCCATCTGCTCACGTGTTCTATGGAAATGTTTTGATTTTCCAGCAGGACAACGACCCAAAACATCGTTCAAAGCATTCACAGGCCTGGTTTCGGACCCAAAATATGACATTATTAGATTAGCCAAGCTATAGCCCTGACTTAAATCCAATAGAAAATGTTTGGGGACTTATGAAGGAAAGTGTCAATAAGAAAAATCTGACAAATATTGCTGAAATGAAAGAAGAGGTGGTCCGATATTGGGACCACGACTTTCTAACTTCTTTGATCAGTAGTATGCCCCACCGCTGATCAGTAGTATGCCCCGCCGTATTGAAGCCTGCATTGCTGCCCATGGTGACTTGACAAAATACTACCTGTTCACCTGTCTTTGAATCTGGAGTTATGTTCTGCCAATATTCACATTTAATACGTGAGTAATGAGTGAAATTTTTTTTAAAAATACAATCTTAAATTCTCAATAATTTCTGGTTGTACTGTATAATTTTTTATCTGGGATTACACTTTCTCAGTAAGGTACAGGTTCTCGTACTTTGGGGGGTTGGAGTCCCGTCCGAGAATCGAAACCACACCCGCTGAGTTAGATCGCTCACTCTGTGTGCTGGCGATTAGGCGCCTTAATCTGGGAGTGAACTCAACACACAGTAAATAATAGAATCCGTACTTTACCGATAAAAGAATGTGTTATACCAAATATAACACGGTGCAAATTATTTCTTTCTAAATGCAGTGTGTATTCAAGTCTTGATTGTTGTTAGTGTGCAATAAACAAGTTGTATGACGGCGTGCCGTAAATAGACGTGGACCAGACGAGAAAGTGATTGTCACTTTGAACAAAGATCCAGGGTACGGGGACATTGAGTGTGTGAGTGTGGTTTTACGCCGCTTTTAGCAATATTCCAGCAATATCACGGTAGGGGACACAAGAAATGGGCTTCACATATTGCACCCATGTGGGGAATCGAACCCGGACCTTCGGCTTGGCAAGCGAACGCTTTAACCACTGGGCTACCCCACCGCCCCCACATAGAGAGAGTATATTTGATTTGGCATTCAAAGGCCATGGCTGGAGTCCTTGGAGAGGAGGAATCAGTGATGCTCCTCTTTTGCGGGCATATTGCTGGATAATTATTGGAATAAAAGCGAAAAGACCCCTTCAACATCCATAAGAAATCTCTCAAAGAGCAGAATTGATTGTACAATTCCGACTATATTATGAGCATGGGTTTGTTTGTTTGTTTGTTTAGCGCAACACCCAGTAATAAACAGCTGTACGACGTCTGTCTGTAAATAATTTAGTCTGGACCAGACAATCTGGTGATTGAGATCATGAGATACGATGACAGATCATGTGCTACGAATCATTAATAAACAGTGCTGATACCAGGTATTCGCGAAAAGGTGAGCGCGTCCTGCCCAACGGGGGTACCCGTCAGAAACACAATCAAAGGTTGTTCTCTATTTTGATGTGTTACTAACAGAAATATGCCCTTACCTTTCTTTTCCGTGGGTTCAGGCAAATCGCATTGTTTGTTGACTGGATTAAAACAAAGTCCAACACTACACTTCGACACATATATCCCTCCGCCGGGGCACTGGATGTAGTACCGACAGTCGAATGGATGTTCCAGGGATGTATTGTTCTCGTTTCCGCAGTAGTTCTCTGAAAGACACAAAAACTGACTGACTGACTGAGTTTAGTTTTAAGCCGCTTTTAGCAATATTCCAGCAATATCACGGCGGGGGGCACCAAAAATGGGCTGCACACATTGTGCCCATGTGGGGAATCGAACCCGGGTCTTCGGCGTGACGAGTCAGCGCTTTAACCACTAGGTTACCCCACCGGCCCGAAAGACACAAAAACAATGCTAGAATTGATTGTATGTTTCCAATACATAAGACCCGTGAAGAGCCGGGTTAGAATTGGTCTTCAGTAATCCATGCTTGTCGTAAGAGGCGACTATCGGGATCTTGTGGTCAGGCTCGCTGACTTGGTTTACACATGTCATCGTATCCCTCTTGCTTAGATCGATGCTCATTCTATTGATCACTGTGACTGGTCCAGACTCGATTATTCACATCATTACACAATGCTAACTTTTGGGGTTGAGTCCCATCCGGGATTCGAACCCACACCCTCAGAGTCAGGCACCTAATCGCCAGCACACAAAGTCAGACGCCTAATCCGCTCAGTCACCGCGACTTCCACAAAATGGAAGTCGGACAATTGATAGTCTAGACTACAGACCGCCGCCATATAGGTTGAATATTGCTAGGGTAAAATTAAACTCACTCACTCACTCCAATAGATAAAAATGTGTTTTTCAATGTCCACATTTCTAATAATCTTTCGATAGTTATTTTGCCATAATTTAGGAAATATTAAGTTGAATTCGTAAGTCAAAGGTACCCAGGAAACAACAGACCAATCTAATGTGTTGTATCAGAAGTTAACCGACTGCATCTGGTCAAAACTCGAAAATTAAACTGGCCCCACTGCTTGAACTTGACCAAAACCACTTCCGAAGAGGGAAAATACCCGTGAAGATCCGGGCTGGAATTGGTCATCAGTAAGCCATGCTTGTCGTAAGAGACGACTAACGGGATCGGGTGGTCAGACTCGCTGACTTGGTTGACACATGTTATCGTATCCCAACTGATTGATAGATCAATGTTCATGCTGTTGATCCCTGGATTGTCTGGTCCAGACTCGATTATTTACAGACCGCCGCCATATAGCTGGAATATTGCTGAGTGCGGCGTTAAAAACCAAACAAACAAACTGCACTTGTGCAGTAATCTTAAACTCGTCGTTAAACCAAACCACACCAGCCTCACCTTCCCTCACCTCACCCCGCTTTACCTCACCTGACCACAGCTGGTATAACTCACCTGGTATAATGAACAACATCTCGGTGACCGACTTGGCCTGGGTCAGATTGGACTCCACCTCACAGATGACCAACGTTTCGTTCAGGTTGGAGCCGCCTGTCATGACGTACTTCCCCTCTATCTGAGTACGGCAGGCGTGGGTCTTGGTTTCCGTACTGTCAAACTCAACACGCTGGAAGTCCGTCTCATTCTTGAGGCGAAACTTGAGACCCAGCCTTCCAGCAGGGTAACCAACTTCTGCCCTGCAAGTGATTTCGTGTTGGGAGGGGTCATTCTCTACGACCTGAGCAGGAACCGTCAAAATAGGCTCTTCCGGTTTAGCTGAAAAACCGAGAAAGTAAACTATCATATCTGTTCATCAATTGTAGGGGAGGTGGGGTGGATAGCCTAGTTGTTAACGCGTTCGCCCGTCACACCGAAGAGACGGGTTCGATTCCCACATGGGTAAACTGTGTGATCCCATTTCTGGTGTCCCCCGCCGTGATATTGCTGGAATATTGCTAAAAGCTGTGTAAAACTAATCTAACTCACTCACTCACTCATCAACTTTATTCCATGTGTACTTCAGTAGTCCACTAGGGAACGGAGGGGTAGACGTGTGGTTAAAGCGTAATATCAGAGATCCGGGTTCGATTCCCAAACGGTTCATCGGATATAATGGTTCTGATGTTGCCAGTCAGACGTTGTTGGAGTGTTGCTGAAGCGTGTAAACTCATACTCACTCAATCTATGCAGTTAAGTAAAACACTGGCTAAACGAGTATGGACAGCTCAACGGTGGTGATATATCTAATGGCAACAAGAGTCATCAGGAGATGGCACATTCCCTTCATCTGGCGGAATTTGGCAATATATACACCACTTTGGGCAAATCCCCAAAATGCCACAGTTCATTACTACCCTGGGGTCACTTGCACAAAGTGATCTTAGCGCTACAGTGGTTGTAACTCCCATTCTCCAACATAGGCTTAAGATAGTCGTAGCGCTAAGATCGCTTTGTGCAAGTGGGCCCTGATCTTGGTCAGCATAGTACATTTCAACACGAAATATGCAACAGTTCTGCACTGGAATCAGAAAACGGAATGGTAGATATGTAATGCAGCTGATCGCTCTATCCCCACGATTTTCACAACGGATGGGTAATAATTCCTTAAGTTTTATCTACTATATCGTTGATTGTAAAGCTAATGTACAAATCAACTCTTCTCATTTCGTTAATTGAAAACTTTGCAGAAACTGATGTTTGAATTAGAAGGGCCTCATACATGTTCGTAATTGAAATGTATATATTCTTTAAGATCATTAGTTTCCAACGATCCAAACCGCCAACTGCACATTTTGTTCAATACAGCCACGCCTTCGGACCGCGACTGTGAGGCGCTGTACACAATTTGGAAAAGCGTGCTCCCAAAACTTTCATTTTTTAATATGTACACAAACACAATGTTATGCAAAGCGGGCCTTTTCTCTGTTTGAACAGTGCGATAAAATCGCTCAGATCTTTCAAAATACCTTTCTCAGAAAAGGTTAAATACTTTGAATGCAGACAAACGACAAACCAGTGGATTTGATTGATTTGTTCGCGTCCACATTGAATGCAAAAACGCGGAGAGAGGGGATTTATACGAATTCCCATGACTGTCATTGGTCACGTAAGGGATAGGTAATAAAGTTCGTCTTAACACTCTGATAGTATTACAGCTGACTGTCTGAGTCTACGTTATCGTGTATGGATCGTGTGGCACTGAGTTACACCACTGCATCATGCACGGTTCTGGGAGATGAGTTTCTACATGAGGGGTGGAACAGAGGATGTGAGAGATGAAAGATGACAGACGGAGATGCAGTGCTGGCGGTGCTGCTTCTACTGGTGGAGGTGAAGATGGTCGCGATGATGATGATGATGATGATGATGATGGTGATGATGATGGTGGAGGTTGTGATGGTGATGATGATGTGGTGATGATAATGGTGATGATGGTGATGGGATGATGATGGTGATGATAGTGGTGGTGTGATTGGTGCTGTTGTGATGATGATGATGGTCGCGATGATGGTGACGATGATAGTGGTAGTGGGATTGTTGTGGTGATGATGATGATGATGATGATGATGATGATGATGATGATGATGATACATATGAAGTCAGCTACTATCAACCCATGAAGCTAAACCCCTACAGATTGGTGCTCCTTACTGAAAAAGGTTCTGAATGTTTAAGAACTATTAGGTGTTGTGTGATATTGTATGGACGATTTGACGATTTGAAGGGAGAACTGCTACAGATCTCGTATACATGTAAGACCAATAGCATTTTATTTACCTAAATACCACTTTATAGTGGCCTTAATTGGAGTGAGTGAGTGAGTATGGTTTTACTTTATGCCGAATTTAGCAATATTCCAGCAACATCACGGCGGGGGACAACAGAAATGGGCTTCACACATTGTACCAATATGGGGAATCGAACCCGGGCCTTCGGTGTAACGAGCAAACGCTTTAACCACTTGGCTACCCCACCGACCCTTAACTGAGCAAACACGTTGCTAAAACTGAAGCCTTGTTCTCCACACTCTTAACATAGACTCACATTTGTTCCGTCTTGACCAGAATATCTAAATGCGACGTTTAACCTAACTTAACGTCAAAAGACCTCACATGACATGTGCCAGAAACGAATACATCTCAAACTCTCACTGAAGTTCAACTTCTTTCACAACTAACTTGTGTCATGTTGACCAGTGTTGACAAGCTCGACGCGTTATTAGATCTATTATTGCTTACATGATAATAAGGTCTAACAGTCGTGACACGTTTGTGTGGATATTTGGTCAAAGATTACAAGCCAGCGTTGAGAGACGACGCTTCATTAATATTTCCGCGCACAGTTATCGGGTTAGAGGATCCTAACAAACTTACAAATGACACTCAGTGTTGACTGTGCCTGTGTTAGGCTGGGGATGCCAGACGCCCCACAAACATAGCGCCCTTCGTCAGCACACTTGAGGACCGAAATCCATATCAGGACTTCTGCTTCATATTTGGAGATAAACACTTCGCTGAGGGCACGAGACTCGAGGTTGCTATCAAGCCAGTCGACACTTCCGTTGTTGTGCACGTGCATGATGTCATATTCGTAACCGGATGTCGTCTGCCTCTTCACTGACAGGATGTCCCATGTTCCTAGGTGAAGCAGACGACAAGCGATGGCGGTGAGGCCTTCGTTCAAGGATCCCGTTGAAGTGCGTAGTGACAGGGCTAGGATATGAAACAGAATTTCGTGTGTTAGTGAATGATTGTTGTATCACGCCGTACTATCGTCGGTTCACGCAAATTATCGGCTGTAGATAGGGTTGTAACCGAAACTAGAGCAACGGTCCATGCAAACTGTCCTTGTCTTCCCCCGGCCATTAGTACACGATTGTTTTAGAATGAAATGTTTTTACACTAAATACAACTCGTGTCTGATGTAGTAGTAGTAGTTGCATGTAGTAGTGGTGATTGTGTGGTGGTGGTGTTTGTTGTGGTGGTGTTGATAGTAGTAGTAGTAGTTGTTGTAGTAGTAGTAGTAGTAATGGTGTTTGTAGTAGTAGTTATAGTAGTGGTAATAGTAGTAGTAGTGGTAGTAGTAGTAGTAGTAGTTGCAGTAGTAGTAGTGATGTTTGTAGAAGTAGTTATATAGTAGTAGTAGTAGTAGCCAATTGTTTCTATCTGATAAGAGAAGGGTATTTGAATCTCCAGTGCTGAATGTGGAAATCTCTAGAATTACATTGCATTTGCGCCAATTTGGGATATTATCCGAAGTGTTAAGAGGAAAACTAAGAAGCGCTGCATACTGTTGGGGTTTTTTGCTTTACAGGTAAAAGCAATAAGTGCACATATATATCACATCTCCCTCAAAAGCAAGTGGTTAGATGCGACGAAGTGGGTCATCCTCGGTGAGGTCGACTGTTTGTTGCCATACCGACGCCATGTGTCGTCCTTCATATTATCAATCACCGGGTCGCCACACTCTCCGTCGTCCTATATCTGGAATGTTGGGAATTGGACAACAACAAACATGGACATCTCCCTGCACACAAGGAGAGGAACCACCTTAACGCGTACTCGCGTGTGGTATTATCAGCTTACCCACTTGGCCACATTCCCCACTACTTGGATCAAAGCAGAGTTCGCCTGGACATTGTCCAACGGAGGGGACAGAGTTGGTGCAGACGATGGACTTGCTGCAGGAGTACGGGTGGCGAATGCTGCCGTTGACCGTCTGACCACAGATATTGTCTGGAAAGAGAAGCAGTTGTTGTCTGATGTCGGTTGAATGATTGATTGATCGATACGTTAAGCGATTGATTGAACGGATGTTAAGTGATTGACTCAACGATCGGTTGAATGATTGATTGAACGGGACGTTAAGTGATTGACTGAACGATCATTGAATGATTGATTGAATTATACGTTAATTGATTGATTGAACGATCGGTTGAATGATTGATTGAACGGGACGTTAAGTGATTGACAGAACGATCGGTTGAATGATTGATTGAACTGGACGTTAAGTGATTGACTGAACGATCATTGAATGATTGATTGAACGGGACGTTAAGTGATTGACTGAACGATCGGTTGAATGATTGATTGAACGATACGTTAAGTGATTGATTGAACGATCGGTTGAATGATTGATTGAACGGGACGTTAAGTGATTGATTGAACGATCGGTTGAATGATTGATTGAACGGGACGTTAAGTGATTGATTGAACGATCGGTTGAATGATTGATTGAACGATATGTTAAGTGATTGATTGAACGATCGGTTGAATGATTGATTGAACGATTGATTGGGTGATATAAAATGGTGAGTAGAGTGAATAAACTTTTGGTTTAATGATTAGTTAAGAGATTGCACAATTGCCTCAGTGAGTGAGTGAGTGAGTGAGTGAACTATTGAACGGCATAACTGGTACGAATGACCTGGCGATTAGTTGATCAATTGAACTGTGGATTCAAAGACTGGATAACTGACCCATTTTTAGTTGATAGTATAGATTGTTTGTACTGAATCCTGATCTTAAGCGCGAAGAGCAAACGCTTTAGATGCTGGACCATCCACTTGCCCTTCCTCATGCCAAACATACTGGTATTTAGAAATTGGAAGAACATGAATAACTGTATCATATGAATACACTACACGTTTGTGGATAACAACTTCCTTTTATTCTCTATACGACGCTTCAGAGCTAATTATCCGTTCCCAATTGCGCAGATCGATGCTCATGCTGTTGATCACTGGATTGTCTGGTCCAGACTCGATTATTTACAGACCGCCCCCATAAAGCTGGACTATTGCTGAATGCGGCGTAAAACTAAACTCACTCACTCACTCAGAGCTAATTCTTGCTCCTTCATCCTGATGAAGAAATCTCCTGATGAAGGAGCAAGAATTAACTCTGAAACGTTGTAAAGAATAAAAATAAGTCGTCATCCATAAACGTGTCAAGTGTTCGTACGACACGGGCGTTCTCATATCTCTGTATATTGTATGACAAGGCAGAACTGTTCTCTGCCTGTTCATCCTGGTATAAGAAGGATGCGCTTAAGACGACGACAAATCCTCCATCACGTTCATTCGTCACATGCACAACACGCTTTGAGCACACGTGCATCGACGGACAAGGAAATCCCTCATTAGCTATTTATAACTGGTTAAGATAATTAACAGTGTTTATAGATGTATCAGGTAATGATGTTTTATTGATTCCCAGATCCTTATCGTCATTTCTTCTTCATCGTTCTCGTTGTCACATCGTGAGTTTTCTTCATTTCGTCATCACCTTTTGCCTTCTTCAATATTTTACTGATCTTAAGCTCCAATACATCTCTGACGACATCCCCGAAGGAGATCGCGCCTGGTAAACTTTCCTGTCAGGCAGTGAGTGAGTGAGTATAGTTTTAAGCAGCACTCAGCAATATTCCAGCTATATGGCGGCGGTCTGTAAATAATCGAGTCTGGACCAGACAATCCAGTGATCAACAGCATGAGCATCGATCTGCGCAAATTGGGAACCGATGACATGTGTCAACCAAGTCAGCAAGCCTGACCACCCGATCCCGTTAGTCGCCTCTTACGACAAGCATGGGTTACTGAAGACCAATATTCTAACCCGGACCTTCACGGGGTCCTGTCAGGCAGAACACTATGAAGGCCTCTAAATATCTCGGTACGAAATATCTGTATCAGATTTCTGTATCTCAAAAAAACAAGTATAGCAACCCAGTTATGTTATTGTGGAAACTTCTTGCATCAGTAGAGTCCCATTGAAGAATGTTTTTCATCTTTGTGAATATTGCTTTAACAATTCGAACATTTTTCGAAAGTGGTCAAAAATATGAAAATTACGATAACTGATCGGTTACACAATCCTTGTAATTAGGCTGAGTTCCATCGGGGTTTAAGTGCCAGAGATCCCAACGCAATGCGGTATCGTATACAAAAAAAACTAAAACGATGTGACTTTAATTGGATCTGGTGCAAACAAAGGAGTCACAGTTGATGACAGCGACGTTTGAGATTGTACGAGCGCTTCCTGTGGATAAGTGTTTGGTTGGCTGAAATAATATCAAATACATGCTAAAATACAAGATACTCATGAAAATAAACTAAAACACTTGTAACTGATGGATTATTTCTGCATCACTCCATGGTAATCCAGGACAGAACACTTGCTGTCATGCCTATGTGTTCTTCCTTTCTTCAGGGGCGGTGGGGTAGCATAGTGGTTACCGCGTTCGCTCGTCACGCTGAAGACCCGGGTTCGATTCCACACATGGGTACAATGTGTGAGGCCCATTTCTGGTGACCCCGCCGTGATATTGCTGGAATATTGCTAAAAGCGGCGTAAAACTAAATTCACTCACTCACTCCTTTCTTCAGTATATGTCTGACTTGTGTGGAAGTGTGGTAGGCTTTTGGGGCCATTCCGTTCTTGAAATTTTAAGATACTGAAAGGAATCTTCAAATTTCAAGATGCTACGTACAAATTTCAAGACACTAACTTGAAATTTCAAAATAATTACCTACTTTTGAATATGTTTACGTACCTTGTAATTGCAAGACGCGAACTTGAAATTTCAAGAAAAACAAATGAAAAGAAACGAATGGACCTAAAGGCTTCAGTATGTCTGAGCTCCGGTTAAACTTATAACTGGTGTATGTTTTTCCCATGGCTCTTGTTACATCACGCCATAGTTCTGACACTGAAGCCAAATGAAAGTAGCTGTTGCTGGTGGTTGCGATGGTGGTGCCAACAGAATTTATTACATAGACTCATATATGTAACAGTTACATTGAAGTTCAGTGGTTTACACATTCCGTTAAATCTTAATTGCAAACAGTTCGCTTCAAAGAGAAAAACATTCATATGACAGCATGGTCTATTGAATATTGGATACGTGAGTCGTGTTTTACGCCGCGTTTTAGCAATGCTCGTGATATAACAGATATGGGCATTGCATCCATCGTGGGAATCAAACCCGGGACTTCGGCCTGACGAGCAAACGCTTTAACCACTATGTTCCTGTTCTGAAGATCGACGAGATGGGAAGTGAGTGAGTTTAGTTTTAAGCCGTTTTTTTTTTAAATATTACAGCAGTATCACGGCGGATGACACCAGAAATTGGCTAGACACATTGTATCCATGGGAAATCGAACCAGGTATTAGGCGTGACGAGCGAACACATTAACCACTTGGCTACCCCACCGCCCCTCGAGATGGGAAGATGCTCAACCTGCTGATGAAGCGGCATCCCTGTATGGCGTGTATGATAATTCATATAATTGGACCACGGAGATTTAACGAGGGATTACTGAGGACATATTATCAATAATCTCGTGTTTACGACATGGCGTATAACTGACGATAATGATAAGTAGAAGGAGATGAACAATAACAACAAAATCATCAGCCCAATTACTAAATAGTTGCAGTGATACTTACTAAGTATTGAGGGTTAAGGTCATTTGACTTATAGTCTGTTTGCAGTGAAAACGTACCGATGAATTTCACTTTAAACAAAAAAGTAAATCAAATAAAGTGAAATTAAGATTGCGAATCCTCATAATTTTACCTTGCCAATTAAACATATAAATTTCAGAATTTTATTCAACTTAGGATAAAAGTTGTTTAACAGACGATCATAGATTCAAATCGCTGTTATTGGTTTGTATTACAAGGGAGTAAACGCAGTAATTGGAACAGTGATACAAATGCACGCGCAGTACGTGATGAGCGTTAACTTAGACCAACCCTACTTCTTCTCGGTGTTTCATTTAATGTGCATACACCCTTGTAATACAAACCAATAATAGCGATTTGAAACTATGATCGTTTGTTAAACAACTTTTATCCTAAGTTGAATAAAATTCTGAGATTTAAATGTTCAATTGGCAAGGTAAAATCATGAGGATTCGTACTTCTAATTTCACTTTATTTGATTTACGTTTTGTTTAAAGTGAAATTCATCGGTACGTTTTCACTGCAAACAGACTTTAGGTATAGCATGGATCTTCGACGGATCTGTGGGACAGGGCCAATCGCATGACGTATTACTCGTTCGATGAATGAGCGTGCATAGACATAAGCCTATCCTCAGCGTGATACTGCCAAGCCCATAGTAATTATGCCATAATTAGTTATCCTCTGATAAGGCTGTTTAGCTGTGTGCTTCGTTTTTGTTTGTTTGTTGTTTAACGCCGTAGACTGTGATATTCCAGCTACATGACGGCTGTAAATAAATTCGTATCCGTCATGGGTATCATGACATATGCCGTTTCCATAGGGGCACATGCAGTGTATGAATTCATTTTGAAAAGTCACTGCCAGGAGGGCTAGAAAAGTAAACATGTTGCTGCCCACATCATACTTCACTCGCCTTGCGAAATATCAATATCAAAATGCACATCGGTCAGAATTGGTGTGATGTTTGGTAATTGAAGATGGTAAGTTACTGTCGCTCCTTTTAAACCATTACCTTTGTATTGTAATGGTTCCTACCCTCTGTTGCGCAACGCTATTAACATTGTTTATATAGAGATCTTCGCGTGACAAGAGATAATAACTATCACGTGACTATTGTGGACGGACTTTGACACCTTAATGATTGACTTCATCATATTCATGTGTATTAATAAAGAACAAATTATCTGAGATTTTCAGCTAGCCAGTCGGGATAGCTTTAACAATATATACTCATGCCAATAATGGTTGTCACCCCCTTCAGTTTT